TTATATTATATGATATTATTGTAATGATTGTAAAATAAAATGAACAATTGTAAAACATATTAAATGATAACGGGACATAAGCGTAATAAACGGAATAACCTTGAAAGCAGAAAGCACCAATATTTTCGTTCATCGAGGCACTTTCTTTCATCATCAGTCATTTCTTGAAAGGCACGAGACATATTACAATGTATTGGATAACCGTAAGGAGCTGGTGGGAATCCTTTCGATCCACCGGAACCAGGATGGTATACATCGCTCATCCTTCGTAATTATCAACTATCAACAAAACAATACAGTAAACAAAATATAGGACTTTAATATATAAATAGATAGATAATGCTTGCAAATAACAATAGTGCTGGCTGCTCAAGTGCCGTAAGTTAGGAGTCCTTGTAGCTTCTCGGTTTAGATGAAAGAAAGCTAAGCAAGCTTACACTTTATCAGTCTCTGCTTGCTAGCTTGTCTAACCACCCTTCAAACCTCCCATATACCTAGCTTTCTTTTATCTAACAAAGCCACTACATCATCCGAATCAATTCCCATTCTGCCTATCTCCTCATTTTATTCAATATAACTTCTCGATCAATATGGCCAAGCTAGGCTTTTTCGATCCTTAGAACCACTCATCCGATTGAATATGTCCCTCACATTCATTGTTTGGGTGCTTCTATCTTCATTCTTATATATTTACGCTTAATGTTTGGTGCATTTTACAAAAAACCTTAATGCTTATATTCAAGCCCAACCATTTAGAAGGTTCTGATCACTGATGAATTCATTTGATAATTGCTGTTCATGGATAACAGGTCATTGCAAGCTTCGTGGCCTATCAAAAAAATTCTACAATCACTCGGCTTCAGAATATAGCCAGTAAACTTCGATTATTTAAACTGGCACATAAACGTGAAATTTTCCAAGTGATATTACTACTTGTCATTCTCTTTATTCATTCAACTGAAAATAATTTCAAACAAAAAAATGCAGGCAAAACAGCTGCTCCAATTTACACCATCCTCTCTTCCATATTTGATATTCAACATGAATAATCGCAGGTCGAAAATCACTACAACAACTCTTGTTACAATTGATAAAACAATATAGACACTGCTGATACAGTAGTAAAATCATGAATTAATATGGTGATTAAATTAAGGTTTGAAATAATGGTAAAGTAGAGATGAGTGAGGCAAAAAATATATATAACAACAATAAAAGTAATGAGACAATGAGACAATCAAGAAGGAACTCCAATACACATGATATAATAGATGTATTTCGACAGAATTCAAAAATTAGATTTCATAAAATCTGCAAAGAACTTTATGTAATACAATTACAATTTGCAAGAATGGAATTTCGTATGTTGTCGAAATCTGAACAAATTTTTACGACTGGTGACAGCAAAATTCCAAGGATTTTAAATGCATAACTCTTTATACACAAAAACGATTCATATATTGTCACACATATATTGTCAAAATCGACATTTTACGTCAAATATTTGGATAGAACTGACAACAGTATATGTCATCACTGTTGTAGACCCGTTTATGATTTCTCATCTTCACCGCCAATCAATTTTGTCAATGAAGAGATTAAATGCTTGCTTACTGTCAGAATAATCGAAACTTTGAGTATGCTAGAAAGTTGAAGACGTTAAAAATGAATTTAATCTCAAAGAAAGGCCTTCAACACTAGACAAGACTAATTCAACCAATTCGAAGTCTTTTGTGAGGAACTTGTGACGTTTGCGCTAGTGCTATCCGCTGTTGCGGATGACGATGATTACCACCTGCAGTCGCTCCAATAACAGTTACTGGATAGAAAGGCCGCTCCTGTAACCAACGCACTTGAGTTGCAGGTCCATAACCCTGAAACAAATGTTCTTATTGCTAAGAGGTGCACATTATGGTGAAAGAAATATTCGTACTACGCAACAATCTTGTAGATATTCAAACATTAAGACTAATGAGCTAAGTATATGATAATTGGATTTCTGTTAAAGATATCAAAAAAAAGTTCACCTTCTCATTACGTGCTGCAATTCGAAATATAATTGCCGGCTTGGAAGACTTATCGATATGCGCAGCATGTAAATTGGCTAACGAAACAATACAAAACGGATCGGAACCAACATAAACGCGAACAAATGAAAGCTGAGTTTCACGACTGTGAGTATTGCGAACCGCCAAATAAACACTGTACTCTGTCACCTTGCCTAAAAGACACCTTTTAACATTGTAGACCAAATATCATCAGCTCATAGAGGTAAACTTTAAAATAATGACCAAATAATAGAACAAATTCAAAAAAATGTTCGAGAGACGACTATGCCAGATGTCCCAAATATCACCAAAGTTTTTGCACTGAGCTCCCAACTGGATAAAGCCGAATAAAAATATGAGATATTTCCCATTAGTAAATATGAAAATTTACCGACAGAGGTTTGTGGTGGATCCCAAGTTAGATGTGCTCCGTCTGGATTCTTTGTCACCTTGATATTAGAAGGAGCGCCGGGGTAACCAGGAAGACAAGTTTTGAAAGCAGTTACCTGAAAAGCGTAGTAATGAACTAGAAAATTGATTTTTAAAAAATTCAATTATTATAATTTCCACTAAACAGATTTTAAAAAATAACAATAAACTGAGTAATCAATGAAATAAGAGAATTAACCTAAAATTGAGAGAATGGCAAATCTTACATAACAGTTTACCTCCGACCAATTGCCTCGACCGCAAGCATTTATGCCAGCAACACGAAAATGATAAGCAGTTCCAGCTTCAAGTTCAGCTTTTCTCAAATAACTTGCCTGAACTCCAAATTCACTTTCACTCCAGGGTGATATAAGAATTATGAAAGATCTAACAAAATGAAATCTTCAGTAGGTTCTTAATATTCTTGTGATAGAGGCAAAAAATTTTGATGTTCCAAAATGCATACCAGAAAAGTTATGAAATGTGAATTGGGAAGACCACAAAAAGAAATATATACATATATTTTCATCACACGATATTTCTCATTAATCAATTGCAAGTAACAATATATCAGTGTAAAAAAAGAGTGATACCCCGAATGCATCTTCCATGCCAGTAGTACATGGCAAAAAGTAGTGCGTTACGAGATGGCTTGTCCCTTTGATGATTCCTACGTTGTACCACTCCGGCTCTGTTTTTTGCTAAAAATAAAAAGAAAACAGTTAAGACCGCGAAAAGATTAACACTGAAAATTTATTAGCCGAATGATTTATACCTAGAAAACCATACCCACGTCTGGCCTTCAATCCCAGTGTCGTATCAAATAAGAGTTGGAAAAGAATTATTTTAAAACTGAAAGTTTAAAAGCTGAAAATTGCCTCTGGAGAGGTAGGACGATGAGATCGATTGAACTGTGCAGTACCGGATTCCACTTTCAAAACTGTAACAGATGGACCACATTTTTTTGTGACAGTTGCATTTGGAAATTCTTCAACCGCTACGTTATCAGCGTTCACAGTCACTGCAACAGTTACTGCAGCAGATATCTCTGTGTCTGCATCAGATGTTGCTGTTACAGATTTGTTCACACTCGGAGGATCTATTGGTTTCGCAGTTTCTGTAGATATTGAGTTGAAAGACTCAGATTTCTTAATATCAGCTGAGTTTTCATCGCAGTTAGGAGTAACTATTTGCAGCCTTCCGCTATCACGTGATGAATGTAAGTCGTCGCTTTGTTTTTTTTTATCGAGAGAAACATCGACTTTAGTTTTCTTATCTCCATCAATATTTTCAACCTTCATTTGTTTAACAGGCATAACGTCCTCTTCAACGTTATCTTCATCCTTTCTATCAGTTCCTTCTTCTTTACATTCAACCACTGTGACAATTTCAATTTTATCTAAAACTATTTTAAAACTGATTTTCATAACAAAACTGAATGAGACAAAGCGGAAAAGTTGCTCTTTCTTTTACAATTTTGAAGTGAAGCGAAACAAAAAGCACTGCTTCAGAGGTAATAATGATCAATGACTACCTAGTTTAACATTGTCAGCATTGCTTGCTAGATCAGGTTCACTTTCATTTTTTACATCCTTTTCCATGGGAGATTTTCCCTGAATAATGTTACTAGCTGAGGATATTTCAAGTTGAGTATCAATAGGAGGTAAAGTAGTTACTGCTATCATATTTGTTTTTGACCGCATTATCTTGGATGAAGTTACTATTTCTCCAGATGGTGCACACTGAACCTAAACATATAAAGAAATAAGGAAACAATTAGTTCTGAGATCTAACTTTACATCGCACATAAATTAAAGCTGCCTCACATTTTTAAAACTTGTTAAAATTATGTCCCCAAAAGATCATTCTTGGGAGAATATTCTGGATCTACTTCCTAACAATTCATTATTAGCGACGTCGAACAACTAGTAAGGGATGAATTAACTTCGATATAATGAGTCTTTTTCCAAATTCCCATGTATATGGTAAAAACTAGAACAGTTGATGTTACTTATGCAAACTTCATACTTTGGTAGCTGTGTGCACATGAGCTGCACCCACTGGCGACACATTTGTTTTCCTAGCATCATGTGTAACAGATCCAGACGAACGATAAGCACCAACAGCAGTATCAGCTGATTGCTTCACATGCTGCTCAGTTGCATCAGTATTTTGAATAATGCTAGTTTCACCATCTGGAGCTGTTTCATCCAGAAGATTCTGTGGTAAACCGACCTAAAATAATCACAAATAAGAAACATGAAAACAATAAAAACCAAGCGTCATTTTCGCTATGACTAGATAGACTCAATACTCTACAGAGAGTAAGATTACAACCTGAAGCGGACCAAAAATCATTTTCGTTACAACCTTCTTAACGGAGTGATAAATGTGTTACGAACATCAACATTTGGTATCACTGGAGTAGTATATGTTGTTCCTTGTGTGGAAATCGATGGTGCATGTTCTGTAGCTATTGCCGTCGGTTCTGCACTGCTATTTCCAGGCTGAACAACGTGTGGTGTCACAGATTCAACAACTGCCAATTGCGGACTGTCTCCAGTACTAACATTTGAGGCAGATGCAGTGGGACAATTCGTCTGTTGTAGGAATAATAATTTATGTGGTGCAGTATAACCAGCTCCAGGTGCCTTAGTTACTAGAATCGCTTTTGCAGCTGGATGTTTGACAATGGCTGCCTAAAATTATGGTACATACTACTTAAAACAGATAAGATGACCATATTGTGCTGCAGTAATTTTCATCTAATCGCCAACTGCCTCATGCAACATGCTTAGATAGGTGGTGTCACATGTCACATGACACGATCAGGATAGACCTCTATATTAACAGTCATTTTATTTCGGGAAGCCGACATTATCATGTCATCGCAATGGAACATCATTTACTAAAGTAACCGTCGGCACAAAGCTGAACTTCGAGAATGTATGAATCGACTTCGACTTCCATATCATGTGCATCTCAGCATGCTACACCTAGTTGATTGTAACTGGAAAACAATTCGTCGAATATATGTAAAGAGCATAAGCTGGAGGAAGCACAATGATTATTCCAAGAAAAATTACATCCCAAAAAAGTCAGTGTACAGTATGGCAAAAACCCGAAACTTAATAACTAATGCAGTATTACAAAAACAAGTCGAAATCATTAGTAAGGGTAACGGAAGTATGGCCTAAGCTGCTATGAAAAAAGGATATCAAAATTCAACATTCAAGAATTGAAATGTCCGATGATTGATTTAATTTCCAACTGTATCTGTGATGGCTCTTCTACTCCCTTGTTGAATTTTGATACCCTTTTTATCAGAAGTAAGAAAATTAAATTTTTTTTCTTTTTATTTTTTTTATCAGAAGAAAGAAACGAAACTTCTGGTGTTGTGCAAAAAGTAACGTGGCCTAATAAAACGTAAAACGAGGCTAAGTACTTCACATTACAGAAAACAAATAGGATGAAAAGAAAATTGAGCAAACAGCATATTTTATAGACATTTAATAAATTTTGAAGATATTCTGAAATGAAACGAGCACTGAAAGGTAGAAAGTACCATACAAAAGCCTTGAAAACGGGAAACTGAAAGGTTTATACCACTAACGAAGAAAAAAGTTGGAAAATTAACGAGTGCTGTGCATCAGTTGCAGAAATTCAAGAAGCAAAGAGGGTAAAAAATTTTCGGTTATACGACATAACTAAAAGCTTTTCAAACTGTTTAAACCATTTTTCTTTTTTCTTTAGAGGTAAATACACCAAAATCATATTCGTGTGGATGCAAAAATAGAACGCAACCAATTCGTAACTTTGTGGAAAGAATGCATAATGAGTAGAAAGTTGGAGAACAAATAACAAATTCACCTGATTTGAAGTGGTGAATCTTGGTGCAGGTAAAACGCGGAGAAAATGTCCGCGAGGACCGTGACTCATAATAGCAGCTGCACCGCGAGAAGCACCTCTGACCACTTTCATTACCTGCGGTCCACTAGCTGCAGTACTTCGAATTGCGATTACTTTCCCTGCCAACGATTTTCCTGTCGTAGTCACTCGAAGACCAGCTGCCGATTTGATAACTAAATGATATGAGCTGATTTCAATAATAGGAAGTTCGAACTTCACAATTCTCTTAGAGTTTATTAATGCTTCTCACCCCTCTTTCTTGACATCTTCACAATAAAGAACTAATGAGTCGTGCAAGTAGGCGGTGAAACCTTTAACGTTACTTGCATGAATTTCATTTTTTACTTCTCATGATCGTCCCTTCAGTACGGGATTCAAAACAATTCCGCTGAGCTACACAAGTTTGTTGGAGCCTAATGAAGTAAAATTGAGCCTTGATATCTCGAAATCTGTTACTTATGAAATCGTATTTTTCAAAAAATAATATTCATTTTTGTAAAATTGCATAACTGGGTATCAAAACTTCGAGAAAAGAAACCCAAACCATGATTTGGAATTAATTACCTAATTCAGTATAAAACTAACTATCATCAGGTTTTGCTTCAAATTTACGTAATTGCAAAAAGTACGCTTCTGCTGTAGGTACAGCATTCCAACATACTTCCAAACCCGATACTGTAGCACGAATAAGCTGCACGCGACCAGGTGCATCGGGTTTGTCCGTTTCCAGATACCACATATCTTTACAACAGACCTTAAATAATACTTTGTACCAAAATTGAACGGAAAATGAGTTAACCGCTGCTATTAGCCTGATATAGCTTTCAACGAATTTGCCGAGAACAGATATAGCTATGAATCTATCAAAGATTTGTTATATATATGATTTCTTAGAATTTGGAGCTTCCGTTACCAGTAAAGAGGATACCTGATTGTTCCAAGCTTTACGATATCCATCTCTTCCGGACCACACATATAAACGTTTATTAATAACAACTGCACTGTGTCCTGCTCGAGCTCTGGGTACTGCCGCTAAATTTATAAATCCTACGTAAATTATACCACTTTATTATAGTTTCACAACGATACTGATAAACTAGAAAGCAAAGACTTAACACTGTCAGCTGATTTTATTAAGGAATATAATCTTGAGAAGCTTCTAAATAACAGAAGCATCATTTACCAATTGTAACTTACATTCAAGGAGTTCTAACGACAGATCTTCCCAGCACATTGTTCGTAGGTTTAATGAAGCGAGTGTGTTTGTACACTTCCATTCTCTTTCGATTTGCTGTAGTTTCATATCGGGTGTTAAAAGAGGCACCCATCCGCCGAACATTATCATTCTGAATAAGGGATTATGATAAGATTTAGACAACTAATTTATCGACAAACTCAATCCTCGATGACGGTCATATTTGTCCGAGTTAGCTCCTCCAAACATGTTAGTTCATAATAACTGAGGAAAAGTCTATTTAATTACTTATTATAGCTGAATTCTATGATTTTTTTCTCCCCGATTAGTGATGAAAAGGAATTAGATGGTCATACTCAATATTTATTGTTTTGTTAATCACGAGGAAGTCACACATCACTATATTTAATTCAATTCTTTAAGACCTCTTTCAAACTTTAAAAAATACCTTTCAGCAATGACATTAGCAGAATGAAGGGAACGTGGCAGTGGTGGAATCCCACCAATTTCAGGTTTCGTCCACGTCATTGAAACAAGATCTAAAATCCATAAATCACCAAGGCGACAGCCATTCATCCCACCAAAGATTATCATTCGCCGATGTTCACCACTTGTTTCTACTATGACTGCAGAATGTGACTCGCGCGGAGGCGGAGGAGACCCATAGGTCTACAATAAAGGAGATAATAAACGATTAATGAAAGATAACCGTTGAAAACTGCAAAGGCACCTTTTCATTCTGATGTAGATGGAAGTTTTCAACTATCTTCTTTCATTCAAGGAAATATTCTAATCTTTTTGGTAATATATTTTAACATGCTAATGGATTGTCATTTCAAAGGTCCGAAAGCTATTTAAATGGATCAGAAAAGAATTCAAATTGCACGCTGAATTAAACTACTGCAAGTTATGCAGAAGTCTTATTGATAATCTGCAGTTCTCGACATTCATCTAAGACTTAGATTCATTCAATAATCTTAAAAAACGAACTTATTCAAATTCAAAAACTTGCAACTAACATCGGGAAATTCCCACTGTAGACTATTATTTGCTTTGCTGAGGTCCAAAACATACAAATCATTCAAATAGCGCGGAATATTATTTTTCGAATCCTCACTAGCGTTAGCCAAACCACCAAATATGTAACAAACCTGAAACCGAAAGCCATACAGAATCTTGTATGGATCTTTTTGCTAGATAAATAATGCAAATAACTAATAATTTCGCATTTTAAATGAACCACCTGATTCGAAGCAAGCGTAAAAGAGTGACCCAAACGAGCACAAGGAGCAGGTTGGCCAGTTTTCGGTGGTCGTGGCCGCAAGCGTATCCATTCCCATTTACTGGCTTGAAGTTCATAAAGATCTGCGGAATATCTAAAATTAAACTGATAAGCTGTATTTTAGAATCACACTATGAAAAACTTGATGTGCATCGCTTCCATACCTTACTCAGAACTCAAGAAATCTGGTTAGGAAACATGTACCCAGTAAAAATTAGTATACAAACCTTCCATATTCAACCATACCTCCAAAGAGGTAAATTTTCGTACCATCACAAATAATGCCATATGCTGCACATCCTGGTGGCACCTCACCTTTAACAGCCGGAACGAACCACTGATTTGTTGCTAAATGAAAAAAAAATAATTATTTCTATCGATTCAGAAGTTTCGCACAATCACAAAGAATGTCTTCAGATATACAATCAGGCAAACAGAAATGTAGCTGACGAAATACACGAAGTACGCATGCTTTTAAAGACCTGTCAAATACAAGACCAACTATAACACAAGCGCCGCCAATTGCAAGGCAATCAATATATCCATTTCATAACTGCCATGTGAAAGTGGCTTTCAGGAAGTTTCTCAATTTCAAAACCAAAAATAACCTGTATTATAGACGTGTAGCTCATCGACGATACCTTCATTGCCTCCACCGAAAACTATCATCAGATCTTTGATCGAAACCGCCCGATGCCCATGACGTGGTCTAGCAATAATACGATTTTTCCAAAAATGCTTCATGTGAATAATTTATATCAAATTTAAACTAAGCAAGAAATTACTCCTAAGCCAATCCAAACTTTTCATAAAATGTTCCTCGATCAATCACAATTGCTTTCGTAAATTTGGTTATTAGAAATGATAAAACGTACCGTGGAGTAGGACCCGTAGTATTTACAACTTTTTTCCATTTCAGCGTCGGCGATGCATCACCTGACCTTCCTCGCTTTGTTGCACTCATCGTTCAACACCTAAGATTATAAATAAAACAAGTCTTGGAAAAAGAGCTTAAATTTACCCAGTACTTGTTTGCTTACACATACATTATGCTTCCATTTCATTACTAACTATTCGAACACCCCATCTACAATCAATAATTTATTATAATCCAAAACTATGTTAAATTTAAGCCTGCTTCTATTTCAATTTCAGAAGTCAGTTTTCTAAATTTTCATCATAATTTTCTATAATTTTCCACCAAATTTTTACAAATGAGGAAGAACTTTTGTAAAAAAATGAGGAAAAAATTTGTAAAGATTTGTAAAAATGAGGAAAAAACACACACACAGACAAGCTTGCAAAATATGTGTAGGAAATTGGAACGATAGATAACTGTCCGAATGAAGAAGAGTAAGGAAGAGTAGCAAAAATTAAACTATACTCAATTCGTGAATCTACGAACAGACCAAACTGTAACTTGCATGCAAAAAAATTTTTAAGATATGATATAGAGGTACGGAAGTGATAACGATGAAATGTGTTTTCTGAGCCTTGAACAAGTTGCATCTAAAACCTTCCTCATTAATAAGACGATGGGAAAATGAGTGACTGCTATAAACAATTCTGTGAGAAAAATGCTGTATTTCGATCAATGATGGAAACAGTACTTGATATTTTTGATAGCAGTTGTTACTTCAAGTAGTACTACTTCCCACCCTTCCCTTTTTTCGGCGTCAAAGCTTCTTCTTCAGAGAGATGAATTCTACTGAATCCTATCAAGAAAACGATGCCTCGAAATCTAGCATGATATATTTGACACGAACTAATAAAATGTAAAAACACACCAATGTAAAACGTATTTCGCAACAATTTACACAAATACTCGGAGCTCAAACGATACGAAATTCACGCCTGAAGTCAAACGAATACCCACCGACAGAACAACTCAAGGAAATGAGAATCAAATAAGCACCTCACCCAATTTATCTGATCACGCGTACTCACCTCCCATGTATTCCGAACGATAAACCTTCCTGCTACAACCATTTCCGGCTGCTCGTCGAGCGCGTCATATTTCTCCCTTCTTTTCTCGTCTGGTTGAGGATGAGAATATAGCATTCAACTAGTTATATCCATTTCGCAATAGAAATTCCTCATTAGTCGGGATATAGGAGAAAGAAGTGTTCAGGCATAAGGCAGGATGAAGTGATAATTTGCGGTTCAGGTTATGGGTTCCGGTGACACATGAAGGGTTTCGGTATTATTTGCCTCACATTTTTTTATCTATTCACTATGCAGTGACGTGGTGGAGAGAAAAATGAATTTGACGAGATGCAATCACCATAAATTATGGGAATCGGATGATATTCAGCATTTTCTGGTTTAAATCGATAGTAGAAATGGTCCAACATTATGCTGCATTGATTTTTCTTGCGATCTTGTTCCACATACATTTTCGTATGAATTGTGGTTCTTTCAGAACGGAATTTGCGTTGGTGGATGGCGAAAAATCTCGAAAACACAAGTTATCGGAAGCTGGATGTTGATGCCTTCGATCCAGAAAAATTTGTAGATTATGAAGATGCGGAGACCCCCGGAATTGGACCGGACGAACGACTCGTTAATCAGTTATTGCAGTCGGCTAAGTTACAAGAAGCGTTGAAAGCATCATTATCAAACCCTCCATTGAAATGCAAAAACCAGGTTTATTTTGAACTGAAATTCATTGTTTTTTCTTAGCACCGAATGATCCTTATTTTTTCATCAACGGTCTAATCTGGAAGACGAGACAGAATGGGAAAAGAGGAGAAAGGTGGAAATATTTATTATCATGAAGTTAATGCTTGTGTATGCATTGCTGCTCATTCAGGAGTTCTGTAAGTAATAATTAACTACATAGTATGTAGGTTTCACTTCGGCGTTGACCCTGGTAATTCTGTTTCCACAGAATTACCAGGGTCAACGCCGAAGTGAATTCTCTCACATCCAATTTCCTGAGAAAGTTGAGAAGGATTAGTCTCAGATCTCCATAGAAAGTAATAGGAAAGGGAGAGAATAAAGGGAGTGGCGATAAGGAACTGGCTTGCCGAACTTTGTCATGAAATTATGGTTTCTAAGATTTGCTAGAAATAATTTTGACTTTGGATTTTTGATGCATGTGTCATACCTCAGATATTTCAGCAAATTTATGAATTAGTTAACATAAGTGATAATTCTAGACGATAAAAGATCGTTCAACCGCTCTCGTAACGAAAGTTTTGATGAATGTAAAGACCGCGGATATCGAAGGTATGGTCAAGACTTTAACAGATGATGAAGTAAACCTTTTAATGAAGTTCATATATAAGGCAATGGACATTCAGGCTGACAATGCAACTTGTCAATATCTCTTGTCGTGGCATGCCCAGGTAATTTTAAAATGTGCGTTAATTAGTCAGGATCATCTTGATTGTTATGTTTGCAGGGAATTTCCACTGGTGCTGTTTTTTTTCTTTAAACCAAAGTTTACGTGTCCCGAAATCTGATATTTAGGACGTCCTTTGTAGTTCAGCCGTATAGGTCCCCGTTTCTTGTTGTTTTGCACTTTAGATTCATTTGCTATAATCATGACAGTAGATACTCCAAATGCTACATCGGACTATTTTGAAATGTGCGAACCTTAAATAATACTATTCACTGCCAAATATTAGCCGAAAAGGTATAATGGAGGTTTATAATTAACGCTAGGAAACCGAAAACTTTTTGTTTTATTGTTTCATGCTTCCATGTTGCATCGGACTTTAATAAGTTTAGTGTTGTTTCAGGTGTCAGCTCGAGGTGGGTACGGTGCTATAATTCGTGTATTTTGTGATCGGCAAAGGTTATGACTTTTGCTTTTAACGTTTATATGTGTCTTCTACTGTTTTCCAAAGCTGGAGCATCTTTAGAGGAAATATGATTTGTGCTTATGATTCTTACACCAATGAATGGTGATCGTTCGCGACTAGGCTAGCGAAACATTGTAACCCCATATTTAACTTAAACCCCAGCTCCTCGTGTCTGTTGTCGCTGTGGGTATCTTTTCATTTTATGAAACTGGTTTTTCCTTTCAAGTTATATGGGATGACCTTAATATAATAAGTTTTGCACCCATTGAAGCTACCATGCGCTCGAACATTCAGGCATATTTAGTTTCGCTACTGCGTTCTGCCAAGTGTTATGTGGTCTTCTTTTCGATGCCATCATTTGTTATAAATGATGAATTTGTATTTTAGTAATAAAATAAAACTCCTCGTCTTATTATTTCTTATTAACGTAGACTAGTTCTGATATATATATATATATATAAAGGAAAGGGTCATCAAATTGCATAGAACAGTTTAATAACTGGCACTGTAAGCCTTTACCAGAAGAAATAAAAGCAAATTGCATTAAGCAATTTATCAAAAGAATCGATTACTCAAGAGTTGCAATGAACTGACAATTCTTCTGAAATGCAAGTCTTTTCACTTTTGTTCATGTTAGAATTTCATTACAATGATAAGGCAAAGCATGATACAATACAAAGTGCGGTAGTGCATGCACATACAATATATGTCTAGCGCTTCATAGTTTACTGCGGAATGTACAGGTCAATGACATATAACGTTCATCACTCAAAATGAAGGATAAATGGCTTTACTGTAGTTCTCGGGGTCAACTCCTCGCAGATGGAAAGAAAGTTAAAAATCATTCGCAACAAATGAATCGGCTGGTTTGGGTTTGCCTGGCGGCGGGCATCAGCAGACCCCTATGTAGCTATTTATGTAAAGAAAGTATTATAGGAACGTGCTGCAATGAATGATTAGAAGGTTCAAGTCATCCAGGGTGAAATCAGGTGCAACACCACTACATTTGGAACAACTCACGTTATTCACATACGTTATGAAGCATTAAATGTGAAAAGTTCACATCTCTGAACTCGATTTTTCCTGGGACAATTTTTTTTTAGAGATCTGTGCACTTGAAAAAAGAGTCAAACGATATCTTTCTGTAATTTTAAAGTCAGAGAATGTATACGTTTCCACTCGAATATCCTTCCTTCACTGAGCACGACTTTACTCAAAGAAAGAAGAAGCAAATACTCAGTAAAATTCAACAAAAGATACACTATAACAGTTAACAACATGCACACTGAATAATGACTTATACTGCTACCAATATCCAACCAACTTCCTTCATCCACTAGTCGAAAGAAGAAGATCTAAAATTAATCTCAGTTAAGCATAAGCTGACATATTTCTAAGGCACACTCCAAAGATGGAATTACATAACAGCAGCAATATTGCAAACCGACCCTGTATGAAAAATTTCTCATGATCTTGCAGCATTACGATTAAACTATGAGTGACAGTTAATGCTTTTAATTGTTGTATTTCGGAAATTCGGTGAAATGAAGCAAAACTTAAATAAATTTGCAAAAATTACCAAGGCCATTGTGTCGGAGATGATTAGCAATATCATCGATAACTTCGCTATTAAGATCTTTTTTAATCGCACAATAACGGCGTACGTAAATGCAACGGCCAAAATTGGTAACGATATTTTAAAAATTAACATAGCTGCCATCGTAAAAGGGGAAAACACAGATATAAAGCATCGTAAAAATGACGGATTAAAACTGTTTAATGAGGCGATATTGCCCGTACCGAAGAAAGCCGCTTCGATAAGGATAACCAAGTTTAAGCCCTGCAGCCATTCAATGAAATACGTATCACTAACACCTAAAATGAAGATTATAGAACCAATGGACTGAGAAAACTTGAAAATATCGATATTTCATTAAAGTTGGTGGGTTGAAACTTTTTTTTTAATGTTTTAAAGTACTTCGTTTGCAACACCAAGTTAGATTCAAATCGGCAAACGCTGACCTGCTATTAACTTCGTCTCATTATCTCGTTCCAGCAATGACATAGATAGAAATTCATCATCACTCATGTATCCAAATTCCAATCGTACATACGTAGCGAGAAGAATGAATAGAAGCAACATAAATGATGATTCGTATGATAAACTTAGCAAAGCGTATGGTAACATAAGCGATGAAAACCAGCATATAAGACGAATCATTACTGATGGAGATGATAACAGTGGTAAAATTGCTGCTACAGGAATTGAAAGCCAACAAATTAAGCGTAGCAGCATTAACAACAACTAAAAAATGCATCTTATTACCATAAAATCATCCAGATTTATAGGAAAAAAAAAATTTTTTAGAGAACAAATTAATACTGAAAAGCATTTCTGCCAGACTATATGAAATTCCAACCTTATAATCTCTGAAAGCATCCACAAGAATTACGACGACTGCAGCAAGAAGATGTAAAGCTGAATGATACCGGAACAGTACTTTCGTAGATGACAACACCGAAAAAGTGGAAATCCAGAAAATTAACAGAGAGGTAAAGAAAGACGATAATGCACAAACTGTGGGTAGTGGATTTTGTCCAACCACCGGGAACTGAGGATATATAGCAATAGCCAAACAACATATCAACCATATCCGTTTCCTAAACAGAAACAGTCATAGACAAATTAAAACCTCAGTAACATCATTTCAAAGTGTTAATGGAATCAGTAAAATAACAATACTACGTAATGCTCTAGTTGGTGGCGCTAAATTAACAGTAGTGACATTTTCTCTCCCATAATAAAATTCATAAGTATAAAAATTCCAGCGTCAAATTCGTTTATAGTGGAGGAATTTCCTAACATCAAAGTAAACACCAATTTCAAATACCTACCATTTAACTACATCTCGATTTTCTCCATGTCTTAGCACTGGAATTAAACCTAAGACCAAGAACTCTATTGATAATACTGGACGATAAATGAATGCGTAAACAATGATCGCAAGAATTACAGCTGAAAATACTACTAAAACAGTTTTAATATTCATCTATGAAAAAACAACCGACCTTATAAATTTTGAGCATCTGAAATGGTTTTTCTGAACGGCATCTGATTTTGAAAGCCGTAGGTTTATTCACGGAAATTTTTGTTTCACAAAATAAAAAACCAAATATTTGAAAATATTATGCGTTCGAACGATATTTAATTCAAGCCGTAATTCAGTTTTTATCTCATGGTTCCATATAAAAATCTACCACTGTCTTCATGGTACAAGACTTACCAACTGAAATAGCTAACAACAACCAAGAGATGAATAACAAAAACCATTTTCTTCTCATTTCTGGACATCGGATTAAATGCCAATTAATGAAATAATTTTCTACATTAAGGCCAAATATATCGCCAACTCTATTGCAGCAAACGCATGAGAGATAAACAGGAAGTGTTAGATATAATGCATGCGTAAATGGCAGTCCACAAAGCAATAATAAGCTAAACATGAAACCAACAACAGTAAACTGCTTCGGGCTTAGAATCAACACATTGTTACCCTTCGAGATTATGGAAGAATGCCTGTAAAAAGAGAAATTGAAAGTGAAAGCAATGGCAATCCGGAAAAACTTAAGATGCCAATCACCAATCATGTTTTTCGTTTAGTCCAATAGTCACTGTGTCATTAACAATTGGCTAATCAAAATATCATAGTGAAGTTGTGTTCTTTCAGTTTGCATAAAATATTCCAGGATTCAATTTACGAGAAAAAATTTTTACTTTAATGTGATGAAATAAACGCATAATATCCATGTGATGAATGTAGAAACCACAGCAATTCCTAAGAGAGCATGGTCATGACGATGAAAATAAATCAAACCGGTTCGAAGAATCGGAATCCATTGCATGCATACTGCCACAGCTGCGTCAAATCTATAGAACAATAAGTATTTTAATCTAGCCATTAAATATAATACGTTAAATATATTAAATATAATATGGCAGTGTATATTATTAAATATATTAAATACAATACTTGCAGACTAAAAAGGCTTGCGATGCCAACATCAAACTGTTTTACTTAATTCATCTGTAGGTTACTGCCAACAACTACTGAAGAGTAACTTTTATTTAAATTTCCTAAGAACTGAGACGAAAAATCAACGTTCAATAAAGCTAACCTATTTTGTGTCACAAGTCTTTTGATTTCGCTTTCAATAGTAGGCAATATTTTTGGATGGAATTGGTCAAAATCACGAAACATGAAAGGCAATGAATGAGTTTTTTTCTCATTCTTTTTTAGAATAAACTGCTCCAGCATCTGGCAGAAGTTGTGATTTCATTATTACAAAAATTATTAGTTGAAGAGAAAACCCTTATATGTTTAAATATTAAAAAAAAATATGCTTTCCTGCTACTTTCATGCAACTAAAAGATTTTATAAAAGTCAAAGATGAAAGAGGTACAAGTAATAATATAAAATGACACAAGGTATTTTCGTCTGATAAAACTTAAGATTTTTAATCTACAGCTTATTATTAAAATCACGCGTTAGTGGTCACCAAACCTGTTTAAAGTTAGCGTATGCTACTGCAAATTTGTATCTCGGTGTTGCATCCAGCACATGTAAAGGTACAGTGCCAAAACTATTCATTGGAATCGGACAACCAAGCAAAGCAGACATAAGCGGCGACAAATCAATCTTAATAATATGTATAATATTTCTAAACAAGCCATTCGTAAACCATAAGAACTGTGCAAGAGTGATAATGTGAAATTCTTAAAGCAAAAATAAAGGCTGGAAAAAAAGATTTACCTGACTAATTTTATTCCTCACAGTACTGCCACGTATACCACGACCCCAAATCACTAATGGTGTAATCAATTCGGCTTCTGTGCCGGCACCATGTGAACCCCAATCTGTCATCCCGTGATCTGAGGTGAATAAGAAGGTTGTCCTAAATTTATCGAAATGAAAAGATTAATAATAATCAAAGAAAAGGATAAGATGATGAAAAGAGAAAAAACTACTAATAATACTCTCACTTATTATGCTATCAGCTTCCTAATAATTTTGAAAAAAGAAAAAGTTTCTTTTAATTTCAAATCAGTCTTAATTTTCGGAAAATTTTTTAGTGCAAAAGAGATGAACCTGTTATCAGCATAGAAATCATTTAGCAATTGTACCACTTTTGCAATTCCTGCATCAACAATTGCAATATTATCAATATACTTGTCTGACTGTGGTTTATGACCGTGTCCATTTGTGTCCAATCCCAGTAAATGGAGGAAAAATATAAGGCGATCTGAGACCAAACGTTTCATAATAGCCACATCTGTGTTGTTCAGAAGTTCCTAAACTGAAACTTTTAGCTCAACTTATTACTATCACAGAATGCTCAGGTTTCTAAATAAAAATGAAAGTTTACAAAACATGCACTGCAAGAACTCACTTCCATTTCTCTGAATACCCATCGGTCCAATTGTGCAGCATCGTTCTGGTAGAAATCTTCTAATCTAGGGGAATAAACCATTGCAGAAGCATGGCTGACATCATTTGTGAATATCGAAACAACGTCCGGACTGCCAAAGGCAAATGCTTCTCGCGACCTGCAATATCTCTTTGGGATGTCTAATATCCTGGAACTTAGATTTTACAGATCGCAGAGTACTCCTTGTATTTCCTGTTACGATAGATACAGCAGAGAAGCATATGCTTTAGAGTTTTACCTATTGATGATGCTGTCAAATGGAACCGGATTATACTTCCAACCACGAGCAACAGCACTAACATCTTCAAAAAACCCAGCAAGCATTGCTACATGGCCAGGACGTGATTCAGTCGGCACATGACTTACGCTTACACCCCAGCAACCCTGGAAAAAATACGTTCCATATCAATCTACCTTCCAGGAATACACCTTAAGGATTATTTCCACAGCTCTCCTAATCTCCTTTAAGCAAGATCTTTTCAACATTTTTTCCTAATATGTTTTTTTTTCCCACTTGCCCACGAATAGTAGCCATCGTTAGCTAGTTCCGGTTTCATTAAATTTAAATCTATTTACCTTGCCTGAATTGATAATATCATGCAAGAACGGTGACTTTTCAGGATGATTGAAGAACGTATCGGCTCGCAAACCATCTGGAAACCAGTAAAAGCATATTTAAACTTTAAAAAGCACTTGCAATTTAACTTTTTGTGTGTGAGAGCAACTGTAGATGCCCTGAATGTTAGATGAGACGCATTCTGCAAAGAAAACAGTGAAAAAGTTATGGTATTTCTTGGTAGTATAAAGGAATAGATAACTGCGAAAAATCAATAGGAAAATGTGAAAAAAATCATAAATTAAAATCAATCAAGAGAACGAACATACCAGCTGAGAAAATGACCAGACGATCAGCTAGGCCTTTTCCATTAGTGATAAAATGTGGATGAAGGCCTATAACCAAAGGTGATGAGTAATATATATCAAATATTGAATACAATAGCACTGCATGAACGAATACACCCAATATCGCTAGCTTGCCATGTATATGCAGCATATGGTACCTAAAACTTTACAATGATTCTTTTTTACGCAGAAACCTATAACAATCAGCTTTTTTTAATTTAACACAAGTAAGGCCATGAATTCGTTATTCTGAGATAGATCAACATGTTCTCGTAATTTATGACATCAAAGTAAATTATGCACATCAAGTTTTAACCACACACACACATACACACATACTTTAAACTGAACATTTTCAACAAGTCACAACAATCCAAAAACATGATAAAATACCAATAAGAACATGTATTCATGAGGTTGTTTGTCTGAATCGACTGATGCATTTTATCAGGCAGACATTTGTCACCCACTACCACTACCATCATCTTCTTTTCCCAACAACTTACACTGGGGATGATCACATCTTCATCTATCAACAACTACCACATCTTCCTTACAGCTGTTAAACGATTCCAACTCATTTTGCTAACGCAATATCGAATTAGTATCATTATCACAGTTCCCAATAGCTACTCCCATTGCTTAAAAAAAAAGTGATTGTATTGTAGTTTTATCAGCCGTCCAGTACACGTTATTTCAGAATATACAGCAGTCTCTCGTCTCCCAAACTACAATGCTATCTTATATTCTGCATCTCAATAAATTTTATCGATATCTTTTCAAACGTGCGTCGGTTTCGAATTGCTGCATTACGGAATCTTTTAGTTTGAGTGATTAATTTCATGCTCATGGAGTTTTAGATTTTGATGATCTGTTAATCATTAATTTTTTCAAGCAAATCAAAAGTTTCTGAAACCTCAGTACGGTGGAAACATCACGAAACAATCCTAGAAGAAACTAACATTCTTATTATTTGTCACACTCTTTGTAATTGTTCAAGCCTTCCAGTGCAAAACAAAAGAAAGCGTGCTTCGGGAGACTTTTAACTGCTTATAATCGTAGTACAAAAATGTCTGAGAAACATATTTGCAAAAGATAACATTTCAAGAAGGAGATATCATTGTGATCGTTTTATGCCAGTCAATAATCACCGGACGTATAAGTTGCACTGTACGCAAAAGAAATGTCACAGAGTGAACTATCATCGATGCAAAATGTCCCTCTACATTCTCCATGGAAAAAAATAAAAGTCGATGCATTGCTGCTGCAGTGGCCAACTATCACTGCATTTGCCACCAGGTTCCCCACCATATTTCGCCGAAATCACCGCGGAGAACTTCTTCGCTAGAGACCATTTAAACAGTTTCCAAGACACAAATCGATCGATAAATTTCTGTCCGTAAAACGGAATAATAAAAGCCTCTGATTACATCTGTGGTCTACGAAAAATATAACACACACTGTAAGAACACTTTCATCATAACCCAAAGATGTTACAGTTACAGTTCCCACATAATCATATTAATTTTGGTTCAAAAAAAGTTGCCAGTTATTATCTTTCTGTCTAGCTATTTCTTTTCTGGATGCAGAAACTAGTATAAAATAGTATAGTTATAGCTATAGTATAGTTATAGTTCCTTTGTTCTAAAAGATTTATACAACGCGTTCTATAATTTTTGAATAGAGGCGGCAGTACTGATTAAACACTAAACTGGCCCATAGATTTAGTTACATAGAATCTAACAGAAGAAATAACTTGGGCATTATCAGCTCACAGTTGAACGGATCAGCAAAGAAAATTAGAATGGTTGTTGAATTCCCTTTCTACTCTGAATATCGATTATTATGGGAAATTTGATGTGAGAATGGAAATATGCCATGCATTATAATTTGAGTGAATACATAAAATAAATTTATTGTTACATAATTCGTTTGATTTCATAAAACAAATCTATTAATACAAAATCCAATTAATTCCAAAAAAAAATTTTCCAAGGAATTTAAAAAGTCATCTGCTAATTAATTTAAATCAATCATTCCGACCTTAACGATAAGAGAAAATCGTAGAGCAGCGCTCTGGGAGTTCATTTTTGACTATACCACATAATTCGGTTAATTTCACAGATTTTTCTTTTAGAACTCATTATCCGACGTAAATGAAAAAAAGTAGCAAAAATCGTTTCGACGTAAGACAAAGCTCCATATCAGTAATATCATAAGTCATTATTCATTCCAAATCAGGCTGTTTCACCTAATCATCGATCATTTCATAAGGATTTCCAACATTCAGCAAATCCTCACAATCTATATATTCCGAAATCAAACCCCTTATATAATCCCCCGCCTCCATAAATTCCGTTTCTTCCATTCCTTCGCGTGTGTACCAATGGAAAAAGGCCCTGCGTCGAAACATCGCTACAAAAATACGTTTAAATGAAACAATTTTGCAATCCTATCATAAAACTTTTCACAATATCTTGACAAATTTATCAATAAAGTGAAGCAAGCTTACGACCTACTGTGCACAATCAATTCAAAAAAGTTACTTTCGAATTGTCCTTCGATTCTGGCAAACACTTCTCTGATAGCAGTAGTATTGGCAACAAGAGTACCACTGATTGTAGTCCCACGAGCGGGAATTTCGCAGGTATCTAACTTGATGTTATCCGGCAGCAATTCAGGACTTAGTGTATTTCGAAAACTCGAAATCAGACTTTCAATCTCCTAGAAAAGAAGATTTAGTGATGTGTTTCGGTAATGGTTTAAACATTATAAGCTTGTAAAAAATTACTGACATCCATCGATACTTGTCCACGAAACATTGCGGAAGCACCCAGACAGTGACCATGTCCCGTGTCACAAGTGGCAATTATATTACCCGGGTGAAACAGCTATAATAGAACGATATAAAAATTATTTCATGACTTTCAATAAATTTGAAATCTTTTCAACTATTGCGGTATCCTAACATCAATTCGATATTCAAACTCATATGAAAATGGTTCTCCTACGTTGTGGAAGCAACATATATATATATATATAGGAGAGCGAGGCAATCTCAAATAACTGCTCCTTCCATAGCCAAACGATTTGAAAACAATGTTTCAAAGATCACACAATTATAATTATTGGACTAAACAGTTTAATTACAAATGAAAATGGGATTTCATAAGTCATGTTGTCATTTAACTTAACGCCTCTAAAAAGCAACCTGCTTGAATAATTCATTGACTTCAGCTCTGGATAAAGCGATATTGCGAGCATCCAGCGAAACAAAGCTAGACACCAGAAAATGAAGCTTCGGAAATGAAATCATGCTGCTAATTAGTTTACCCAAATCAGAATCCATCTTTCCAGAAAAACGCAAAAAACTGGTTATTCCAGACATAACCATCGATGCTTAAAATATGTTCAGTATCTATTTTATCACAATTTCTTTTTCCAAATATCTATCATCTATGAGATTTCCACTTATTGCAGATTCTTTCCCATTTATTGCAAAAAGCACAATTATCCTTTCCATCACAATAAAATTCCACTCAGATTTCTCCATCTATCTATGGCTCACATTTCCTTTTGCAATTGCAATATATTTGCCGCAAAAAAAAAAGAAAAAAAGTTCGAGACCAACCTAAATGATTAAGATCATCGTAATTCAGTCTGCCATTCCCCAGACGCAAAGCAATATCATAAAGCGCTTCATTATCGATACAATACGTAATATCCACATTTTCGGTGAGTTGTTTTAAGGATAACGCCACGTTATACGGTTCAGTCACAATACCCAACACCTATTATCCAAATTTAGAAAGAGCTCTTAGATGAAATCATTTGATAAAGTAAACTTACTAGCATGATCAAGGTTTATCAATAAATCCGTTCAGATCCAATTCAACTTTTCTGGTCCATTTTATATCATCTTTGAGCGATAGATGAAAAATGATTGAATAACGTACTTTGACGGACGGGAATGTGGAAAATGTTGATATAAAACGCTTTGGATATTGCTCGGATATTTTGGCGATCATAAGCGCTCCAAATCCAGAACCTGTACCACCTCCAAGCGAGTGATTCAAATCGATACCCTATAAAAGCATTTTTTTTTTTAATATACTTAAATTCATATAAATAATTTTGTAATAATTAACTACACAACACTTTATAATTTCCAAGTTTTGATATGTGCCATCCGCGTTGAAATAATATCATAGAACGATATGAATTATTCGCACCTATTGCTCTCCTTTTTTGAATTATTTATATCAGAATTCAAAAAAGCTGATTGTAATTATTTGCATACTTGTAAACCGTCACAGATTTCTGCTTCTTTTCGAAGAACTTCCAACACCCGATCAATATACCTTCTTCCTCCATCGTAAAATCCCTTAGCCCAGCAGTTGCTAGCACTACCTCTACCAAACACAAAATTTTCCGAACGAAATAATGATCGATGAGTCGATTGAAGCACCGTATTCAATGAATCTGGGTCCAAATCAACAACTACTGAACGGGGAAAATATTTATTCTCTGAAATTCAATTTCTGATTTTTAAAATATGAATTCGTTATAATGGACATATGGCCAGTTGCTTCTTTTTCATGTGATAGGTAAGATAAAAATGATTGATGAAATAATTTAAATAAATTGACTATCATGCCTACTTTTCTTGACCTATAAGACTTATCATCAGAAAAATACCCTTCGTTTCTTTAAAATACACTCCGATACGTTCCAGCTGTAATCCCGAACTACCACTATAAGTACCATCAGGTCCGATGCCATGTTCTTCGGAAATCACATCCCAGAACTGCAAACGTTAAATTTATTTCATCTCTTGGCAAACCTTTTGGCCAAATACCATTTTAACTAATAAAACCTTTGTTCCAATTTTGTTTCCACATCGGCCAACTTGGATACCGATAACTTCTTTCATCGTTTTTCGTCGACTGAAAAGCTTCCCAAAAACAGAAGACAATTTGCAGCAACACCAGGAAACTCACAACGAAAAGTAATGAATTGCGCAATAACAGTTCTCTTCCCTGTATTTAAACAGATTTAACTGCTTCAAATGAATTGATTTATTTCTCAACAAAATTTGCATAAATCACTGCTCTCAGAACAAATACCGAACCGCGCACGTCATACCAATAACACGTCATACCAATAACACTTAAAACCTGAAATTATTTCGAACTACCATCGACTGACGTAATAGCCCCAAATTTAGGAAGGATGTCCAACATCCATTCCAATTTCGAGACGGATGCATGGTTCGCGGCTGAGGGTTGATTGCTGGGAAGGGGGAAGGGAGAGGAGGAAAGAGTGAAGGAACGAACAGTTTCCAGGACAAAAATCGAACAATAGGTTCATACCGACAAATTGGAATGGATGTCTGATTTTTTGGCGGCCTGTGGGAAAGACTGACAATGTCGACGTCTGGATTCTGGATGTGTTGAGGATTATCAGATTTAATCCCGGCGTATTTTCTTTCGCCCATCCCAAATGAATGCCTTATCTTGGATATTTTAAACTATTTGGATATCTTTAGCTTTTTCACTGCTATATACATCTTCCAGAATAATTCAAGGTGTAGAGATTCGGATTCTACAATTTTAGCCTAAAATCTTGGTTCCGATAATGTCTTTTAAAATGCTTTCGTGGCAGTCTTCTTTCTCATTTTAAGCAGCATTTGTGCAAAACAAATTCAACTGTCGCCTTGTATCAAATTACTGCTGCGTCAAAATCCTTGCTGTCATTTAGCAATTTATGGAAAAGCTTATATTTTATTTACGTGTAGTGATCAGTTGATTGAAGTTAGCACAAGTTCGAATTTCTACTTTCCCGGAGAAAGGACGATTCGAGGATTTGTCTTCGCTTACATTCATTCTCTTTCGCAAAATAAATTCTATCGCTTGCTGAAAGGGCGGAACAGAATTGATTGCCATAGCATACGATCATTTTGACAAATGCTACCGTACCATTCTTTAATGTAGGCGTCTTCGCAGCGACGGAAATGCAAACATGCCGAATCGTAGAAACTGTAACATCTTAGTATTATGAGCAAAAAAAGTGTTCTCGGATTGTGTGTTGCACATTTCGTATGCTACAAATGTAATCATAGACTTTATTGTTCTGGTTTACCGATGGAAACCTATCATTCGGCTTTTGTCCTAGAAACTGTTAAAAAGATCTCTAACCAAGAAGTTAGACCAGAAATAAATCTGACAATTATAGATCGGAGAAGTGATTGTAGTGGAATAAGGTATTGGGGAGGGGGAGGGAGGGGGAGCAGGAATCCGAAACCTCTACACTTTGAATTATTGTGGAAGATGTGTGTAGCAGTGAAAAAGTTGAAGATATCCAAACAAGTTTAAATATCCAAGATAAACCGCGAATGTAATCACAATGTGACCATTCCAATTCTCTCTTTCTTTCTTTTATCAAGTGGGACGTCGCGGTTTGGTATTGTTGTGAGAAGGGTGATTTATGCAAATTTTGTTGAGAAATAATTCAATTCATTGGCATAAGTAAATCTGTTTAAAAGAGAACTGTTTTTGCGCAATTCATTACTTCTGAATATCCTGGTGCGGCTGCGAATTTAATCGTCTGCTGTTTTTGGGAAGCTTTTCAGTCGACGAAAAACGATGAGAGAAATTATCGGTATCCAAGTTGGGCGATGTGGAAACAGCATTGGAACAAAGGTTTTATTAGTTAAAATGGTATTGGCTAAAAGGTTTTCCAAGAAATGAAATAAATTTAACGTTTGCAGTTCTGGGAAGTGATTTGCGAAGAGCACGGCATCAGACCTAATGGTACTTATCATGGTACTTCGGACTTACAGATAGAACGTATCGGAGTGTATTTTAAGGAGACAAGGGGTATTTTTCTAATCTTAAATCTTAGAGATGAAGAAAACTAGGCATGATAGCTAACTTACTTAAATTATTATTCCATTAATCAATTTTGTTTTACCTATTACATGAAAGAGAAGCAACTGGGCATATGTCCGTTATAACGAATTCGTATTTTAAAAATCAGAAATTGAATTTCAGAGAATAAATATTTTCCCCGTGCCGTAGTTGTTGATTTCGACCCAGATTCATCGAATATGGTGCTTCAATCGACTCATCGATCGCTATTTCTTGCGAAAAATTCTGTGTTTGATAGACATAGTGCTAGCAGCAGCTGGGCTAAGGGATTTTACGGTGGAGGAAGAAAATTTATTTATCAGGTGTTTGACGTTCTTCGAAGAGAAGCAGAAAAGTGTGACAATTTGCAGGTATGCAAATAATTACTACCACTTTTTTTGAATTCTGATATAAATAATTCAAGACAAAAAGAGCAATAAGTGCAATAATTCTTATCGTTCTATGATATTATTTCAACGCGGATGGCACATGTCAAAACTTGGAAATTATAAAATATTGCATTATTATTTATATGAATTTAAATATCATTGTAAAAAAAATGTTTTTACAGGGTATTGATCTAATTCACTCCCTTGGAGGTGGTACAGGTTCTGGACTTGGAGCGCTTATCATCGCCAATGTATCCGAACATTATCCAAAGCGTTATATATCAACATTTTCCACATTCCCGTCTCTCAAAGTACGTTATTCAATCATTTTTCATCTATCGCTTAAAGATGATATAAAATGGACCAGAAAAGTTGAATTGGATCTGAACGGATTTATTGATAAACCTTGAGCATGCTAGTAAGTTTACTTTATCAAATGATTTCATCTAAGAGCTCTTCCTAAATTTGAATAATAGGTGTTGGGTGTTGTAACTGAATCGTATAATACGGCGTTTTCCTTAAAACAACTCACCGAAAATGTGGATATGGCGCATTGTATCGATAATGAGGCGCTTCACAATATTGCTCGTCGTTTGGGGAATCGAAGACCAAATTATGATGATCTTAATCATTTAGGTTGGTCTCGAACTTTTTTTTTGACAAATATGTTGCAACTGCAGAAGGAAATCAGCCATAGATGGAGAAATCTGAGTGGGATTTGATTATGGTGGAAAAGATAATTGTGTTATTGCAATAGATGGTAAAAGGTTCTGAAATAAATGGAAATCTCATAGATCATAGACATATGGAAAAAGAAATTGTGACAAAATATAAAAATGTTTTAAGCATCGATGGTTATGTCCGGAATAACCAGTTTTTTGCGCTTCCATGGAAAGATGAGATCTGATTTATGTAGACTATTTAACAGCATGATTTCATTCCCGAGGCTTCATTTTCTGACGCCTAGTTTTGTTTCGAGGGATGTTGGCAAGATCGCTTTATGCGGAGTTGAAATCGATGATTTAATCAAACAGGTTGCTTTTTAGAAGAAGCATTAGGTTAAATGACAACATAACTTAAGAAATCCCATTTTCATTTGCAATCAAACTGTTTACTCCAATAATTATAGCTGTGTGATCTTTGAAACATTGTTTTCAATATCATTTGGCTATGGAAGAAGCAGTTATTTGAGATTGCCTCGTTCTCCTACAAAACTGTTGTTTTCATAACGTAGGAGAACCATTTTCATGAGTTTGAATATCGAACTGGTGATGTTCGGATATTGCAATGGTTGAAAAGATTTCAAAATTACTGAAAACCATGAAATAATTTTCAATTCATACAAGTGTTTAAGAATTCTATTATAGGTGCTTCACCCGCATAACATGTTTGCCGCTTGTAACCCCGGACATGGTCGTTATCTGGATGCTTCCGCAATCTTCCGTGGGCAAATATCGTTGGGTGTCAGTTAATTTATGCAAGCTTGTATTGTTTGAATAATTGTCGAAACATCACTAAACCTTCTTTTTCAGATGGTTGAAAGTCAGATTTCGAGTGTTCGAAATACATTGAGCCCTGAACTGTTCCCGAATAACCTCATCTTAAATGCCAGCAAATTGCCTGCTCTTGGGACTAAAGTCAGTGGTACTCTTCTTGGCAATACTACTGCTATCAAAGAAGTGTTTACCAGAATCGAACAACAATTCGAAAGTATCTTTTTTTTAATTGATTGTGCATGATAGGTCGCAATCTTACTTCACTTAATTGATAAATTTGTCAAGGTATTGTGAAAATTTTTTGACAGAATTGCAAAATTATGTCATTTAAATGTATTTTTGTAGCAATGTTTCGACGCAGGGCCTTTTTCCACTGGTACACATGCGAGGGAGTGGAAGAAGCAGAATTTATGGAGGCGAGGGATTATATGAAGGGTTTGATTTCGGAATACATAAACTGTGAGGAATTGATGTATGATGAAAGTGCTTATGATATGATCGATGATTAGGTAGAACAACTTGATTATGAATGAATGCTAACTTATGATGTTACTGATATAAGACTTTGTCTTACATCGATTTTTGATTTTTTTTGCCTTTTTTTTCATTGACACCGGATAATGAGTTTTAGAAAAACTCTGTAAATTAACCGAATTATGTGGTATGCTCAGTAGTGAACTACCAGAGCTCTCCCCTGCGATTTTCTTATCGTTAAGGTTGGAATAATTGATGCATATCAATTGCCAGATGATTTTTAAATTCCTTGGAAACGATTTTTTTTTTCGAATTGTATTGGCAGATTTATTTTCTGAAATCAGACATTGTATGGCAATAAATTTATTTTTTGTAATCACTGAAATTATGTGGCGTGACATATTTCCAATCTCATATCAAATTTCCCATAAAACTCGAATATTCAGGGCAGAAAAAGAATTCAACAATCATTCTAATTTTCTTTGCTGATCCGTTCAACTATGAGCTGATAATAGCCAAGTTATTTCAGTTAGATTCTATATGAATGAATCTGTGGGCCAGTTCAGTGTTTAATCAGTGCTGCCGCCTATGTTCAAAAATCATAGGATACGTTTATTATTTTAGCAACAAAGAAACTCTCAGCTGTAAATATATTATTTTATACGTCAGTTTCTGCATTCTGAAAAATAATAGCTAAACAAAAATTAATAACTAACGGCTTTTTTTTGAACCAAAATTAATATGGTATGTGGTCTGGAAGAAAAATTATGAGAACGAGTCAGCTTTTTCGGCGATTGCCCACCAATTTGCATGTTCATAATCTAGGTGTACCAGCCGCAGCGATGGTATCATTGCTATAAGAGCTTTCAATTCATCCTGCAACTATTTCCATTTATATACTAAATTCTAAACATTTATATTCTAAACAAATCTCTCAACATGTAATTTGATATTGGAGAAATACCACTCAAAAGAAAACGGAAGTGAACGAATATAATTCCATCATTTCTATCTTTTTTGGCTATTTCCAAGCAAAAAATAATTCTTTTGTTTTTTGAAATTTGTGAACTGACTTTTTTAAAAACGTGATAATATCGATACAAATTATATTGTTGTTTAAAGCATAATACTTCCACTAAAGCCATTTCAACGATATGTTCCGCAAGTTCCGACGAAAACTGTTCAATCGCTTTGTATCGCATTTGACGTCGCAGACTGCATGATATTAGCGTGCTCAAATAGTGCATTATTGCGCATCCGTCGAAAATAATCGATGGAATATGCCGCGATAATATGTCGAGGAAGGATGAAAATACTTCAGAGATGCGTTGAAATAATGATGTGTGCTCAGTTTGTGTTGCATTCTTTGCCAAAAATTTCACGGCCATAGAATCCTTAAAAAGCGAATATAATTCGCGAATATATTTAAAGCGAATATATAAAGCGAATATATTTTCGTGAAAAACTTGTGACTAATCTTGAATCTTAAACTTAAACTTAAACGTAATCTTAAACTTAACTAAACTTACCAAAAATACCTCCATCTATTGTTATATGAAAGAAATTTCATTGTTTGATTTAGACAGTTGAAGAAAAACTCTGGCCCCGGCATATCGCAATGTGCGATTGATAGCATACTATATCATGAAAACTTCAAGCAATTTTAGGTTGAATAATCTTACTACAGTGAATCACTATGCAGTTTTGGTCCAAATGGCATCGTGCAATAGTTTAATAAAGCTTATATTCTAATTTATCAGAAGGCTTACCTTTATTAGACGCTGTTCTCTTGTCGAATTCATATGGAATTTGATCGCTGGAATAGGTTTAGAAATATCTTTTAGACAAAGTAAACAGAGGGAAAAAAAATATGATTTTCTTCTTTTTAATAAATTAAGACTCCATTCACTCTTTTCACTACGATATGATTCCCAATTTTAAAAAAAGGAACTCCAAAGATCTGATTGACCGACAAGATAGAAGTGGAAGGGGGAAATGTTTTATTATTATTTTATTATTATTGTTATTATTATTAATTATTATTAATTAGAAGGTAGGAAAACTGAGTGACCATTAGGTGAAATATTATCGCTACAATGCAATTGGCAAGGCACCAGTACGTCCTGTGATGGAAATTTTCCGTTGGGTTGTTCGAATGCCCAAACATATATCAATACTTGGCCACTAAAAAATACGGAAAGCAGGGTATATCTATCGACATTTTTGAAAATTCTCATGTGTTAGTTATCTCAGTAATTTCGATATTTCATCGTACCACGTGGATGCACTTACTGACTTATGTATGCAACCAAGTGAGAAATATTCCTAAAATTTTGAAATAAGACGAAAGGTGTTGCCATATATCGAGGTTGAACTACGAATGATGAAATGGAAAGAAAGGAATGCTTTGATGAATAGCATTTTCAGCTTTTATTTGCGTTCATATCCGTATACAATCATTTCGAGATGTGCTTCACTAAGTGATAAAACAATTTTGCTAGTTTATTTTCCGTAAATTACCGATAAAACATTAGAAATAAATAACTTGCCGAGGTCGCAAACATCGTGTGATTTCAGTTAGAGCCCGTTTTCTCTGATCGAGCGTTATAAAATGGTGTAAAACGGATACTAATAAAGCAGCATCAATACTATTCGATCTATGATTTCAGAGATATTAATGCGAAAATGTTGAAAATTTCAAAGCTTGATGATGATAGTTTGAAGACTGTGCTCAATAATCAGCCATGCAACTCCGATCTTCTCTCTTCCCCTCTCCCCATCTATTTCATTCTTGTAGTCAGAGATTAAGATCAACTTCTATACTAAAATGAAATCAACTCAGTCAAAAATGCAAACCAAAAGTTGTGTCCTTTACCTATATGGTAAACTTCGAACATCAGCTAACTGCAAATCAACCATTGGAGGTAATTGCAGTTGCTCAAGCATTTCTAAACATGTATCGCAATCCATAAAATAGCAATCGCTCTTGTGATATTTTGCTTCACCACAACCTGAATTGAGAAATACCTTTAACTGACAATCTTCTCAAATGAACAATAAATAAGAATAACTTCCTTATCAATCAATACATCTTTATCATTCGTCCTAATTTCAAGTTAAACTGTCGCAACTCCAACATTACTTCAACCTGTCACATCTCAAATATTCATTTCTGTTAAATTCGGCTAAGAGTGAATTTGGCGCTGTCACGGAATAAGCTACGATATGTAAAATGTAGAAATGCTTTTCTTGTAAATTATAATTATAATTGCAATTTTTTTATTACTATAAATAAAAAAAAGGAGCTTGCCAATATCAATAGCAATTGTGCCCAGCGAGAGTTTATTAACAAATTTTTGAACATTAACCCAACGAACTACTGTATTTCGGATTCCATTTTGACAGTAGGCAGTAGCCGAAAGTAATGCTAAATGTTCGTATGCTTCCCGAACGTATTTTTTCTCGATATCCATTGCAACGCTCATAATCATTGTAACATATACTCTGATATACTAAATAAGCGAAAAATTCAAATGAGATTATTGTAATTGAATATTTTGCTTACAGTAACAATTATGACAATTGAAATGATACGGAGAGGTATACGGTATCATATATTTTTGCAAACTGTAAAAATATTAAAAGTTTTAAAAAAGAAAAAAATCAAATTAAACACTGTAAATATCCTTCGAATCTGTTTGAATTAATTTTTAGAAAATATTTTTCAATGTAAAATTTATTATTCAATTGTTTTTTTGTTGTAAATTAAAATTTTTTAAGATTAAACATTACAATATCTCACAGATAAATTACAATTAAATGAAATATTAGCAGTCTGAATTGATTATGCGAAAATCTATGTGAATAATTAGAAAACAATGCAATGTGCACACAAATATGCTTTGTCTATAGATTTCTTTTTTTTATTAATTAATTTATTAATTTGTATAAATTAAGAAATAAATGTAGTGTTATTAAAAATTGAAGCAAATAGTGAGAATTAGTTTTATTCGATCAAATTTCTTGGGAGAATATGAAATGTAAAATTAGTGATGATTAGGGATTTAAGATAAGAGTTCCAAAAATGAAGCTAATTGGTATATATCTTTAATCGCACTAAATTTCGACAAAAAGAAAAAGATTTGATTTATTTACTACAATCATTCCAAACATATCATCAATTTGAAACTTCGTTTAAACATATTTATATTATGTTATGTAGTATAATGTCTTATGCTTCATTCAATTTTATTATACTACATTTTCATTAAAAATTAATTTAATCAAGAAATAATTTTTTTTATGATTTTTGAAAACTGTTCATAATGCATACTTATGGGATTTACCACAAAAAGTTCATATCAGGTAAGTTTGTCAATGAAAATGATGCATTTTGTTGTTTTTGCTGAATATAAAATTATGTTAATATACATTTATAACACAAATAATAAATTCACAATAAAAGATAATAAAGCATTTTCTATCCATGGTAACGGCTTAATGCAACATAATAATTTTAGTCATTTAACAATTTAACATTTCTCTGCTTTGACGTAATTATAGAGTCGAGATAACCATAATAATAATAATTAACAACAATAAATAGTAGAATAATGATGATGATTATAAATGTGATGAAGTGAAATCTATTAATGATTTGATGGATCAAAATAAATGCGAAAATTGTTCGAAAAGAAAAATCATTCATGGAAGTTGATATTTTATGATATTCGATGTATAGCTTGCAACAACAATGGCTATTGATAAACAAGTAGGAACAATCTATTCTTTTATAAAAACAAAAGTATTCTTTCATTTCATTCAATTATTTCTCTTATTCATTTCCTATCAAATTTTCTCCGAAAGATTTTAGGGCTTACCAACGTGAGTATTTATTATTTGTTGAAGCAAATCTATCTGTTGGCATAATTTACGGATATTATAGATATCGAAAAAAGATACTGCCATAAAGACATCATATATGAATCCATTATAGAAATGAGTATAGAAATCCATAATAACATCGTAGAAATCTCAAGCACAAATTTGATAGAATAATTTCTTACTATGTAATTTAATTTATTAATTTTTAGCAATTTCTTCATCTAAAATTATAATTATTTTCTACAGTTTTTTTTTACTTCTTAATAAAATTTTATTTCTTCCATTTATAGATTGTTTTGGGAACTGCTCATTATTCGGGGAAGTATTTCTACTAATCATTTGTTCTCATTGCTCGAGGAAGTACTTGTACTAATCATTTATTCTCATTATCAGGGGAAGTACTTGTACTAATCATTTATTCTCATTACCCGGAGGAGTAGTTGCATTATTTATTCCTTATCATAAATTAAAACTCAATATTGTATACCATGATTTGCTTTTTAAAAGAAGATAATCTATTTACGAATGATAATATAAGAATTAGTCTCGAGTGATATGCCTATGTTTCAAAAAGTATTATGATGGAACTGATAAGATAATCTAATGAAAAGAAGGACGAATAATTTTGAGAAAGAATCGTTATCAGTAATAAGGAAGAAGGTTATTTATAGAATGTATACCTTTGATTTTAAAATAATTCCAGAAATTTTCATTTATTTCTTTAGCGTTTCAATACGACGATACAACATTTTATGCGCAGTATAGTTGGGTGAAGCAAGAACAGAGGAAGGGCAGATATTCACGTGAGCCAAAATTAATTAATGTAATAATTAGTACAGTATGATTGATTGTGATAATTGCTCTTTAATGAATTTATTTTCTCAACCTTTTATTATTTCTACTGCATTATTTGTTAATTTACTTACTTGTTTTATTAATTATCTCATGTTTTATTAATTTCACTGACCAGTACGAGCTCAAAGCATTCTAATAAAAATACAAATTTTCAGAGCTATTTACGGAACTTTTGAATTTGGAGTATCGATTAACCGGTTAAATCAGTAAAAATATTTTCAACCTGTAGGACTTCCAAAAAATCTCTTCCCGTTAAATTTATAACGTTGCAATTTATCATTCTCGTGAAATGGTTTTATAAGGTTTTCAACTAGACGATATGAGGAGATTATTTCGTCAAAATCCATCATGAATATTTGGACCGCATCACGTTACTATTTTCCGTATTTTCGTCGTCCAGCTAAATTATCTTTATCATTATGCATTTCTCTATCATATTCCATTAGATTTTACATCCTTCTGTAAAGCACAGAGAAAATATCACCTCTTATCAAACACAACATTTATTCAAACTTCACTTTTATTTAACACATTAAGTTAACAAGTCCTTTCAATTAATTATCTAAAAACAAAATAATAATTTGGAAAGCTAATTCACCCAAGCAAACATTTCCTGCTGTTAACTTAATGTGCTAAATAAAGTTTTAATCAAAGTTTGAATTCATCCAAGTAATCCATTTTGTGTTGTTAACTGTTCAAAGTCAATTCATTTGTAGTTGCTATCTTTAAGTCCAAATACATTAGTACTACGCCATTTTATTCATATTACTTATCAGCTCAGTGAATTTAGTGCGATCAAGTTATTGATCCTCATGGACACTTTGAAAGTAGTGTTTGAATTGAGAAGCATCTAGAAAGACCCGCAATAAGTAGCGACTTCTTTGCTCAAAGGAATGAGCTTGGGAAATTCAGTTCATAAATGGACATGAGTCATGTAAACTCTTTAACGATCGCAAGTTTGACTTATTCTATAATAATGAAAATAAATCTGTCAAGATGAAAATATTTGTTAGCAAAATAAATGTAATTTGCTTACTTCAAACATATTACTAAAGGTTGCACAGTTAAATTTATTTTATGTGAAACTAAGCGCAGACCGGTCGCTGTCACTTAAATGGGTTCATCTAACTTGCGCTGCGGTCCTGAATGATGTGAAAAACATGAATGCAAGAAAGAATGTTATATTACGGAAGAAGAGAATTTTGAAGACGGAATGAATTTTAACCGGTGAATTGAAATAAAAGCGAGCATGTGATGATATTTTCGGTGAGAAAACTTTCGGGAAAAATTAACAGCTTCTCACTCTACTTATCGATTCAATTTTGATGCACTTCGTTTCGCACTGCTTAATAAAAGATTTCATTAATACATAAACTTCGTCAGCATACAAACATATACTGTGCCATTGGAATGAAAATTCAAGAAGTGACTTGATGAATAACTATGAGCAATAATCGAATGAACGAAGAGGATAGTAACGGAAATTTTGCACTTTCTGCTTTTTGATTTTTATCGAAAATTAGGATGAAATAGCTTTCAACTGCATCGGTTAACAGTTATATTCCGTATTCCGTTGAATTTCCGTTTTCTCCTTTAAATACTAATTTCTCTCATTTGATATCGCGCATGATTGTTACACAGACAATATTGAAATGCGCTATCATTTGTGTTTTACTCCTAACTTCCCTTTTTATATTTTGTATTTAAACCTAATGCCGCTGATAATTTCAGAGTTTGAAAAATGAAATATCCGAAATGTTAATCGTAACAAAAAAAAGTGAAATAAATACAAAGAAGGACGGAAATTGTGATGTGTATTTTTCAAGGGATCGTGAATATCATCGAATTTACAATGTGTAATTTATAATTATGGAAATCATACAACTTAACTGATAGCATTCATGCGCGAAAATTTACTGAAGAAATAAAGTAGACGGATGTGAAACAATTGATTGTTTTGTTTTAATTTCTTCAAGTTCATAAATCATGCCAAAAAGTTGCAATTCATTTATTCTAATTTGAAAATTTTTTTCCCAATATCAATACCAATATTTATTGATTACTTACTATCTTAACAAGTATTTTTGGATTTTACATATTTTTTTTCACCTGTAGATATTTCAAAGAATCAATAGCACCAATGCAATTGATAATTTCAGAGCTTGAAATTAAATGATTATTTTTATTAAAGTGATGACAAACTTCAAAGTCAAAATAATCAATCGTTGATACTTTTCTTTTTCTCAAATTTCTTTCCATATAATTAATTCAATAAATAATAGGCGAAAGAAGTGACAGTGCAATAAATATGTAAGTTAATATTTCATTTTTTTTAATTTGCAAAAAAGAAAGGTAGCAACAAAAATTTAAATATAAAATATGTGAGTATAATTGGAAAGATAAGGAAAATGCTTCATAAAAATAACAGTTATTAGTTTGTTTCACTTTTATTTGTTCTAGCTGCAACCACTGCAACTGGTTGGATAATCGATATTATAAGTGGTTATTTTATCCTATTTTAAGATATTCATTCATATCATTTATTCATTTAGAAATTTCTGTTTCACCGATACTTAAATGCTTTTGTACTACAGAAGGATTATTAAAATATATGTTTTAGTGATTTATAATGTCCTATCAATGAAATTACTTCCAATGACATTTTAATTATCGGATTATTTAGTTGAAATTAATTAAAATTGAATAATTGGTTAACTAATTCATTGTAGTATGA